ACATGGATTTCGTGCCCCTCCCACCCCTCCAGGGAGGCCCCGCCTGAGCGAGGAGGGTATCGAAAACCATACTATTTACATGGTTTCGTGCCCCTCCCACCTCCTCCAGGGAGGCCCCGCCTGAGCGAGGAGGGTATCCGAAAACCATACTATTTACATGGTTTCGTGCCCCTCCCACCCCTCCAGGGAGGCCCCGCCTGAGCGAGGAGGGTACCCGAAAACCATACTATTTACATGTTTCGTGCCCCTCCCACCCCTCCAGGGAGGCCCCGCCTGAGCGAGGAGGGTATCGGAAAACCATACTATTTACATGGTTTCGTGCCCCTCCCACCCCTCCAGGGAGGCCCCGCCTGAGCGAGGAGGGTATTGGAAAACCATATTATTTACATGGTTCCGTGTCCCCTCCCACCCATCCAGGGAGGCCCCGCCTGAGCGAGGAGGGTATCGGAAAACCATACTATTTACATGGTTTCGTGCCCCTCCCACCCCTCCAGGGAGGCCCCGCCTGAGCGAGGAGGGTATCGGAAACCATACTATTTACATGGTTTCGTGCCCCTCCCACCCCTCCAGGGAGGCCCCGCCTGAGCGAGGAGGGTATCGGAAAACCATACTAATTTACATGGTTTCGTGCCCCTCCCACCCCTCCAGGGAGGCCCCGCCTGAGCGAGGAGGGTATCCGAAAACCATACTATTTACATGGTTTCGTGCCCCTCCCACCCCTCCAGGGAGGCCCCGCCTGAGCGAGGAGGGTATCGGAAACCATACTATTTACATGGTTTCGTGCCCCTCCCACCCCTCCAGGGAGGCCCCGCCTGAGCGAGGAGGGTATCCGAAAACCATACTATTTACATGGTTTCGTGCCCCTCCCACCCCTCCAGGGAGGCCCCGCCTGAGCGAGGAGGGCATCAAGAAAAGCCATGTGTCCCACGAAACCGTTAATCTCTTTATGTGGGGAACTCCGTAGCATAATGACATGGTTTCGTGCCCCTCCCACCCCTCAGGAGGCCCCGCCTGAGCGAGGAGGTATCTCATGTTTTCGGCCCTCCCACCCTCCAGGGAAGGCCCGCCTGAGCGAGGAGGGTATCCTACCATACAATTACATACTATTTACATGGTTTCGTGGCCCTCCCACCCCTCCAGGGAGGCCCCGCCTGAGCGAGGAGGGTATCGGAATACCATACTATTTACATGGTTTCGTGCCCCTCCCACCCCTCCTGGGAGGCCCCGCCTGAGCGAGGAGGATATCCGCAAACCATACTATTTTCATGGTTTCCTGCCCCTCCCACCCCTCCAGGGAGGCCCCGCCTGAGCGAGGAGGGTATCGGAAAACCATACTATTTACATGGTTTCGTGTCCCCCCTCCACTCCTCCAGAGAGGCCGCGCTTGAACGAGGAGGGTCGCGGAAAGCATTACTCTTTGCCAGGTTTCGTAGCCCTCCCCCCTTCCAGCGGGGCCCCGCCAAAGCGAGGAGGGCATCAAGAAAATGGGTCCCACGAAACCGTTAATTTTTTTTGTGGGGAACTCCGTTAGCATACTTTTATTTTTTAATGACAATTTTGGAGTATCATTTATTGTTTTAAAATATTGTTTGACCAGTTTGGAATATTCATTATTTTATTTTCATTTTTTAACCATTTTGGAGTATTCTGTACTTTTCGTCGAACCGTAGGACGTAGGAGGACACGCCCGACGTAAGCCGTAGGCGCCAGACGCACCTCCCCCTCGAGCAAAAGCTTCCGGGGAGAGCAGAGGAGGGCGGTGGGGCTCGGCATGCGGGCGGGCCGCCCGCGTGCCGCGGCAGCAGTCAGGGGCAGAGCCCGGGAGGTGCCTATAGGGCTGGATCGGGCCTGTCGCCCTACAGGCCGCTTTTGGACGAGAATTACAACATATTGGCCTGTGTTTTGGATTTGTTCGACCTTTTGGGGGTGTTTTTGGGTGTAATTTTGGGGGTAGAGCCCGGGAGGTGCCCAGGGTTGAGTCGGGCTTGTCCCCCTACAGGCCGCGTTTGGACGAAGAATACAAAATACCCCCAAGATAGTCACAAAAAATAGTCCAAACATAGTCCAGGGACTATTTTTGGGGTCTTTTGTGACCGTTTTGGGGCATTTTGGGGGTATGTTCGATTTTTCGTCGAAAGTCCCCCTGTAGGGGGACACGGCCGACATAAGCCTAGGGTTGAGTCGGGCCCGTCCCCCTACAGGCCGCGCTTGGTCGAAAAATTAATGATAGTCAAACAATACCCTAAAATACACAAAAATGGTCCAAGAATCGTCCCACCATTTTTTAAAACCATTTTTGAGCATTCCCCCTGTAGAGGGATAGGCCCGACTCAAGCCTAGGGCACGTGGGGCTCTTCCTTACCAAGTTCTCGGGTCTGGTTAGGCTTCAGGCTGCGACAGCGCGAGAAGGCGTCAAGCCGACGTTCGCCGAGGGCGAGAGGAGGACTCGAGGCATCTGCCCCCAACCGTCGCTCGTTGAAAGTAGGGCTTCTGGGTTCCC